TTCCCGGCGAGCTCTTCCCCCTTCCGGCGACCAACCCCAGCAGCGACACCACAAGCAGCCGCCCCGACGAGCCTCCTCAGCCTTTGCCGTCACGAACAAGCCGTTGCTCCGCCACTCAGGCTGTTTCGGTGCCACCTCGAGCCGCTTTGCCGTCGGCAACCGCAGCTCCTCCTCCGTGAGCCAGGCCTGTCCGCGAGCAGCCACCGTTCCCGAGTTGCTGCCCTCTTTTTTCGGCGAGACGCGTGAAGCCGTCGAGCCCGTCGTCCCGTAAATCCGTTCGGACCATTCTCGCGTTTCCCGAGAACGGTATCGAGCTTCGACCGCTTTATTATTTATTTTTATGTTCGTTGATGTGTTAATCGTGCCTTGCGAATTTATATGCTCTTTGATGTCATGTGTGTTGAATATAAAGATATATTATTGATGTTATTTTATTATTGTCGTGATTTTATGTGAATTTCGTCGATTCGTGCGAATCGAACGAGAACTCGTTAAAAGTGTTAAGTTTCTGTGGATTTAGGGACTTAGGATCGTCATGAACACAATGGCGTTGGCCTTGTGTCGTTTGAACTTGTAAATTTGTAGTTATGAATTATCGAAGTTCGTAATGGCTGTTTTGAATGTAAAATTCACCATAAATTGAATACTAGTCCGTTTTCATTGAAATTTTAGGAGCAGCTGTTTTTGATGAATATGTAGTTGCTGTAACATTTTCGTGATTTTTACAGGTGTTTAACTATTTTTAAAAATTAATTTGATTTCTGTTTAGTTTCTTGTAAAATGCATAAGTAATTGTGTAGTGTTCTTTTCTGTCTAATTTTTGAGTATGTTATGTTTCAGGCATGATTATATGTGATGTAAAATTTTTAGAATTTTTGAACTACGTTTGATAGGTTTAACAAATTATTTTGTGATTATGCTCGAATTTATTTTAATTATGATAAATTATTCTGAAACTGAAAAATTCTGAAAATTTGTAGAAGTGCTGATTATGTGATGTTTAGCATGCTGTAAAAAGTTTAGAATTTTTGGAGTTCAGTTGTGATCAGTTATGATGTAATTGCGATATTTAGCTGAATGTTGTTTTAGTATTATAAATTGATATACTGAGTGTTGAAGACTGATAAATTTATGTTTTACTGATCATATGCTGTAGTATTTTAGATAAAAATTTGATAGCCTGAATCGTCCATTATCATGTGCTTTTAATTTAAACTCGTTTTTGCTGAAGAACTTGTATGAATTTTATTAAATTATGCATAAGGAGTTTGAAGCAGAAACTTGGTGAGTCTTCTTAGAATTGGGATATGAAATTATGTAAAATTTTCAGAACCTAACTCATTGATTTGATATGCCTTCTAATTCAAGTGTGAATTTGAGAAATTGTTTTTCTATGTTGAAATGTGTTAAGCGTTGATAACCAAATGTGCCATGTGTTTATTTGTGGCTCGTTTGTTTGTCTTTCACTTGTGATTATGTGAACTTGTATATGTGGTTTGATCGAGTCTAAGTCCTACTGTTCCCATATCCACAGAACTTCACGAACCACTTGGTCGAACCGAGTTCGGCTAAGTCAATCTGTGAATTTTCTACATAGGTCTAGATTAAAGTGTTGACTTTAGTATCTGGACTTAATGTAGGTGTCTAGAGGTGTTGAATCTCGCCTCGCCTCGGGATTTGTGATTTGATCTGTAGCTGTAATCAGGTGGGTACATTTGTGATGTATTCTATAATTATCGCACTTATTATTTCGTGTAATGTTTCTTTTGGAAATTATTGTATGCATGAGAACTCTAGTCTAAGTGTCCCGAACGATAGTGCCTTTGATGAATGCGAAAGCAGTGAAAGTCGCCTGCCCGTTGTATCCGGGAGGTGCACGCCCGAATCCGTGTAGAGCGGAGAGGATTGTCTGAATTACTCGAATCCGTGTTGAGGGGAGGGGTAATTCAACTTCATTGTCTCCTGGAAAGGATCCCATGTACCGTTGTATCCGGGGGTGGGAAGGTTTCCAGTTACAGCCATGCCGTTGTATCCGGAAGGTTGTTGTATGTACATAGGAGGTTTGCGATTGGGCCGGGTAGGGGGTTTAGACTATGAATTCTATGCATACCAGTATTGATATTGTCCACTGCGTTTACTTGTTTGTAAAATTATTATACGGAATAATCGTGCGATAATGGTGAGCTTGTTGGTTGTTCACCCCCATTATTTTCTTGTTGTCTTCTCTCTTCCTTTGTTCTAGATTGAGACGAGCTGGAGGCGGTGGCGTAGGACGAGCGAGATGGTGGTCATTATGTGTTGAAAACCTATGCTTCCGCTTGAACTTACTGTTTATTTATTTTGCTATTATGCTTTTGATTATTTACAGCTTTCACTTTTCGAACTAAGTTTAAGTATGTTGAACCGTGATCATGCTAAGCTTTTGAAGTGAATTTGAGACGTATGTTTTATGGGATTGTTATATGATAGCTCGAGCATGTGTAGGTTCTATCGATTGATGGATATGGTGTTTTTATTTGTTTGTGTGTGGTCAGTAAGTAGCGCCCGTTTCTCGATAAATGTTTTAACTTGGATTTAAAAAAAAAAATATACTCTGATTTTTATTAAATAAAATTCGATAAATTCCTTAAAATAAAACGGGACGTTACAATTGGGTATCAGAGCCAGGTTTCGATCCTGGGATTTCTACTTAGGTCTAGATAAAGCGTTGACTTTAGTATCTGGACTTAATGTAGGTATCTAGAAGTGTTGACCTCGCCCTGCTTGTGAGATTCGTGTTTGTGATCTGTCGCTGCAACCAGGTGGGTACATTTGTGTTGTATCCATAATTATCGCATTTATTATTTCGTGTAATGTTACTTTTGAAAAATTAATGTATGCATGAGAACTCTAGTCTAAGTGTCCCGAACGATAGTGCCTTTGACGAATGCGAAAGCAGTGGAAGTCGCCTGCCCGTTGCATCCGGGAGGCGGACGCCCGAATCCGTGTAGAGTGAAGGGGATTGTCTGAATACTCGAATCCGTGTAGAGCGGAGGGGTGATTCAACTTCACTGTCTCCTGGAAAGGATCCCATGTACCGTTGTATTCGGGGGTGGGAAGGTTTCCAGTTACAGCCATGCCGTTGTATCCGGAAGGTTGTTGTATGTACATAGGAGGTTTGCGATAGGGCCGGGTAGGGGGTTCAGGCTATGAATTCTATGCATACCGGTATTGATATTGTACACTGCGATTACTTGTTTGTAAATTTATTATACGGAATAATCGTGCGATAATGGTGAGCTAGTTGGTTGCTCACCCCCATTATTTTCCGTTGTTGTCTCCTCTTCCTTTCTTTAGGTTGAGCTGAGTTGATGGCGGTGGCGTAAAGACGAGCGAGAGGAGGGTCGTTGGTCAAATTACGTTATCGCTATATTATGCTTCCGCCTGATTGTGATTTGTTGAACTGAAACTTGACTTGAATTATTTTCCCGCTTGGATTTGGATTATTCATTTATTTGCCTTCGAACTATGTTTGAGTTTTCGTTTGAACCTGGATTCATGCTAGACGTTTGGGAATGATTTTGAGATTTATGTTTTATGCGATTGTTTATTTTGATAGCTCAAGCATGTGTAGGTTCTTTGGTTTGATTGATTGGATGTGTTCATTTGGTGTGGTTAGTAAGTAGCGCCCGTTTCTCGATAAATGTTTTAATTTGGATTTAAAAAAAAAAATTTGGTCAACATTTGCAAAATTAGTACCAGACCTAGAGTAAGATAGTACCGATATTATGGTGTTCGAGTACCAGATATCAGGCCTTCAATACCAACTCCGACGACCATAGAAAAAAAAAATGAATTTTGTAAAATAGTACCGGTTTTACCACAAATAATACAGTGTCTCCTTCTATGCAGTACTAGTTATTGATCAATTAGTACCTACTTTGTAGAAAGAACAAAAAATGGATTACTTCAAATTTGATCAATATTTTCAAAATTAGGCGTCGCGCCTCCACCTCAATCTCCTTCCCCTCTACCGCGACTTTAGAAATTCTTCTTCGCACGCCTTTCCTTTGTTTTCTATTCCACAAACTCCACTATATATATACATCCCCTTTTCATTTCTTAATCTCAAACCCAGTAAACAAATAAAAAAATCCAATTCAGAAACCAACAAATAAATACTCGATTTCACTCAGATTTCTATGAAAAAATGGTGAATTTCTATAATGCTCACGTGACATTTGAACACAACCTGAGATAGGCAATTAGGAATCACAATTACTTGATAAGAGTATTCATTAGAGACAGTATTTCTACCATAATTCTCAAGACTCAACCATAATTTTGCCATCAGGTCTCAGTTTGAATCTAATAATATTTATTTGCAGTTCACAACTCTAATAATATTTATTTGAGTTATGAATGATTCTAAATAGACGACATACTAGAATAGACCGTTCGTATTTAGCAATCAATCAAAAGAGATATTCAACTGAATACAATCTAAATTAATCCAACTAATCAGCACCTCAAACATCAAAGTGCCAATAAAATGACTTAACAAAATATTTCTGGACATAACCAACAACCCAAAACCCACAAATACTTCATAAAACATTCAGAAATATAATGACAAACCCAATGCCGCAAGAATAAAGAGTATAGATAGCAATCTGAATAATCACAGACTAACCATAAACATTTGGGAAAAAAACAGCTAACCACAATCATACGCAGGAATTGAAGAATAATAGCCAGAAAATGAAAATTAGCAATATAGGACACACATTTCAATTTATTTTATTCTCTGCTTGTGCAGATAACCATCTTGAACTACAAGAAAAGGGGAAAAAGCCAATAACAATACCAATTTTGGAGCTCCGACACGAAAGTTCTTTCACTATACCTGTAAACAATCATTTTGTGCCCAATAACAAAGCTAACCTTTAAACTACTGGACCTTAAACTTTAATCATTTTGTGCCCAATAACAAAGCTTCACCTCCCGGAGCTCCATTGGATATGGTTCGTTGCCGAGTTCCCTTCCTGGAAAAGCGAGCCGATCCTCCGCTCACCTTCCGTCTAATATCCCCCGTCCTATCCGATATTTATCCGTACTCCAACCGCCGCGAGTGGCGGCACCAGCTGGAGTCCCTGGCCGCGGCCGAGGTCGACATCATCGCCGTCATGTTCTCTGTCGTCCTATCCAATCTCCGCCCGTACTCTAGCCGTCCGCCTCAATCTCCGCCGCTTTCTTCGATTTTTGTGAAAAATTCGCACCATAGGCCATCAAACCAACTGCAATCATCTTCAATCGGACTGTAATTTATGGTAAAACAAGTAATTGAAAGAAAATAAACAAGTATGAGTTGAGATTGATTTTTCGAGGATTTGGGGTTTTGGAGACGATGACCTTTTTTATTCGACTTTTTCTGCTTTTTGAACGAAATTACATAATTTATCTGCTTCATCAACACAGTAATTTCAGACAATGCCCAAATTCTTAAAGAACCCTAATTCAAAAATATACCAAAATAAAAAAAAATTATGAACCTTAGACATGCAAAGAGCCCTAAATTATCAATAAATTTCGTAATTTGTGAAATATAAGTCAAATACGAAGTTCATTAGCATCAATCAAATCCCAAATCTTGAAAAATTTCGAATTCAAGAAAAAAAAACTTAAATAAATAAACAAGCTCCTTCAGTTCAAATGATCCTCGGTTGAATTCAATCTCCTCAGCAAAATAACTTAAGCTCTCTGACTCGCATGAATGCCCCCAGCAGCAAGAAAATATGTTTGATCTCCTCCCGTTCACTTCACGAATGAAAACTCCCAGATGATGAAAATTACTTTCCTTCCTGCTGTAACACTTCAAAGCCAAAATAATAGATAAAAGAGTCCCACAAAATTAGTTCTCCTCAATTAATTCTTCTCCAAGCATAAGGCTCCCAAGCAAAATAAACCCGTCCCCAAATTGATTCACTTGCCAAGTAATTAAAATCAAAATTTTGAAAAAAAAAATAAACCCAAAATTGAAATTCTAAAAATCTTACCTTGTTTAAGAGACAAACATCGACGGAGAAAGAGATGTAGAGAGATGAACGACGGCGAAAAAAGAGAGAGAGACGAAGGCAATGGAAATTTACAGAGAGAGGTGGAGATGGAAATTGAGAGCGAGAGACGGGAACAAGAGAGAGAAAGCTGAATTTTTTTATGATTTTTCAGTAAAACTAAATGAATAATAATAAGAGTAGTATACATATGGGGAGTGATTTGAAAAGAGAAATTAGCTTTAGGGAGTGATAAGGAAGTTTAAAAGTGATGGGGACTGACAAGGAAGTTGAAATGTGAGTTAGGGATTTATAAGGAATTACCCGGATAAAAAATTAAGTATGAAATTAACAAAGTTAATTAAAAATTTTGTTAGCCCAAATGACCAATTTCCAACAGAACGCAGCAGTCCCCCAACAGATTTTGTTAAAAACTCACGCAGCAGTCCCCCCCTCATCGTCTTCCTCACGCAAATTTCAAATCCTCAATCCCGTCATCATCTTCACCCTCCTTCCCGTCACCATCTCCGACCATCATCTTCCTCACGCCCCTCAGTTCTCGTCTTTCTCTCCGGCCAATAAAAATCTGACCTCCACATCTCGAGTCCGATCGCCGCCATCGAGCCCCAGTTGTTCAGGCTTGCCATTAACCGTTGCTCCATCGTGCACCACCGCGCCGCCATCGCCGAGCCCTGCTTTCCAGCAACCAGCGAGTCACCAGCGTTCGGACCTCCTCGAGCAGAATTTCCGAGCACCACCATCATCGTCGACCTGCTCCTCCGCAAGATGCCACTCGCAGCCCACGACCAACAGCGAGTTTCGTCGGCAAGCCCAAGCGCAAGTGGACGAGCCGTTCACCCCGCGAGTTAGCCATCAACCTACGTCCGTTCCGTTTTTTCGAACGATTCCCGAGAACGGTACAAGGCTCGACCCGTGAATTAGCCGTCAACCCGTCTCGTTAAATTTTATGTATCATTTATGTTGTGTGTACTTGGTTGTTGAATGTGATTAACGAATATATATATATATATATATATATATATATATATATATTTAAGCCTATGATTTTATGTGTTTAATATGTAATTGTGTGTTGACGAGCTTTTCAATTTTGAGAAATCGAGCGAGACCTCGTCAACTTGTGAATTAGTCACTGCGGATTGGAACGTTGTATCGTCCTTAGTCTTACAACGAAGACTTCGGACGAATTCGTCGTAAAACGAGTCTTAGATAAATTGCCGAACTTGAATAACCGCTGTTTTAGTGTTGGAATTATTAAAAACTATGTATTGCTCAGATTTCATTGCAATTTTGAGGGTCTTGTCTTCTATTAAACATCTGGCTCGTGTAAAAATTTCGTAATTTTTCAAGGCCTCTAGCAATTTTAAATAAATAAAGTGATTTCTGGTCAGAAATATGTTAAATGCATAATAAATTGGTCCATACTTCAATTGTGCTGCAATTTGAGTATGTTATGCCTCGGTTATGTTTGTATGCTGTGTAATATTTTTAGAATTGTTGGACTATGTTTGATAGGGTAAATAATTTATTTTCAGATTCTGCAGAAAGTTGTTTTATTTATGGTAAATTGGTTAGTTGTTGAAAACTTCTCAAACTTGTCTGGAGTACTTTTCTTATGTGTAGTCTCATGCTGTAAAAAGTTGAGAATTTTTGGAGTTCAATTTGCTTCAGTTTTAATTAAAATTCGATAACTGCTGAAACTTGTAGGAATTTTTAAAATTCGTACAGTTAATGTCCAGGGCTGAAATTTTGATATGTTGTCGCCCTCATGCTGTAGTCTGTGATGCAAAAATATTCGGTCATGATTCGTTCATTAGGTTTAGATATAAATTTATGTTCGTTTTTGCTGTTATCTTGTTTGAATTTTACAAAATAGCACACTTTGAGTTTGGGGCTGAAAATTGGTGGTATTGCTAAATTCTGAGAGGTGAAATTTTAGTTAAAATTTCAGAGTTAAACTCATTTGATAACCCGACCAACTTATTTTGTGATTAAAATCTAGTATTTTCAAATATATGGCTTTTGCAATAAAAACTGTAAATCAACTCGCCTTCCGCTCCTTTGTTTGTTTGACTTCGTCAATCTTTATTTAGGATTATGTAATCTCTCATGTGTACTTGGTTGAGTCCTAGTGTCAAGTCTAAGTGTTCCAACGTCCACAAGACTTCACGAACAACTTAGTCGAATCAAGTTCGACTAAGTAAGATCGTGATTTCTATTTAAGTCAAAATAGATGTTAATTATAGCATCTGGACTTAATGTAGGTGTTTGACGAGCCGAGCTCACAGTATATTCGTGCTTTCGTGTTATCTCCTATTTGCGACCAGGTGGGTTGTTATTCTAAAATCGTCTATGCAATAAATTGTTTACCTTACTTGTATATGATCAATGTATGCTTACGAATCATGTAGCCTTCGATGTGAGCTGTACCGGCCGTCGAACGTTTTTCCCGTATGTATGAAAATAAACCCGAGGGGTTACTCCTACTGACTGGGCATCGATAGAAGCCCATGGGGCATTCGATGTGTAAGACCGGAGGGCATAGACGTAAAGCTCATGGGGCACTCAATACGTCTACCGGAAGTAGTCTATTGATATAGATGTGCACAGGAGTCTGAACACTGTGAATTTATGATAAAAATTTGGGGATACTTGATTGATTCTTATACATGCTGTGATCAAACTATTAATTTCTGTTTATGTTATGAAAATATTTATTGCATAGTGGTTAGCACTACGATTTCGAATTGTGCTTATCCCCACCTGAAATTCACGTTTCAGGTTAAGCAAGACGGGTACGACGGCGGAGTGGAGCGAGTGGTAGTCGGTCTATGAGACCGGTTATTAAATGATTTTGCTTTCGCTATCTTTATGACTATTTACGATTTATGCATTTTCGAACTTGAGAATTTATGAAGTATTGAGATAATATTGGGGAGATGCCCCGTTGACATTGTCATGTCCTAAAACTGGAGTTTTATTTTGGGAACCCGTTTTGGGTGAAATGGTGATTTATGGATTTATGGATCCCGGTTTGGGAGTTAGATGATTTATGTTATGAATTGATGTTATGTCATTTGAAAAATATGAGTAACGTCACAAATGTTTGAAATAATTTTTAAAAAAATTTATTCTGATTTTTCTGAAAGTCTGGAATTTCCTTAAATCAAAGTGGGGCGTTACAATCAACCATTGGACGTCACTTTTTATAGGCAAACTCGTACTTGTGAGAAAACATTCAAGCCTTACAATGTCAAAATAGGAAGTTGAAAATGGAAGGAGGGGCAATGACTTTGTATATGCAAGTTCACTTTATTTTATTTTATTTTATTAACTTTTTTTAAAAGAATGACTTTGTACATGCAAGTTCACTTTATTTTATTTTATTTTATTAACTTTTTTTAATTAAAAAAAAAAAACATGGCCTAAACATATTCAACTTATCTGTCACGAACCTAAACCTTTGTGGTGAGTGTGACTCAACTAGTCAAAAATTTCAACACGGCTAAAATTAGGAAAATGCATGTGCTAATTTATCTATTTTTAAGTTAATAATTTTTATTTTCTATTATAGTTTTCACTAGTACAACGCTAGTGAACTACACGGGTGTTTGAAGAAAAAAAAATTAATTGTGCAACAAAGAATGAAAAGAAGTAAAATTCTTATTGTGAAAGAAGAATTATAACTAATTAATAATAAAGCAAAAAAAAAAATTAATATTATTTTAAATTCTTAAAAATATTTTATATGAAGTATTATATATATTATTAAGATATATTCATTTTTCCAAAAGTAAATGGAATAATTAATTTATTATGCATTTAATATAACACCTATAAACAACAGGGATGCTTTAAAATAAATATAAAATATTTTTATCAACGGAAGTAAATAAATATATTTATATTCTTACAATATAATGATAAAAAATTAAGTATGAAATTAATAATTCAAAAATTAACAAAGTTAATTATTTAAAATAATATAAATACTTTACAATGAGCTTGTTAAAATGTTATTTTTTCAATATTGCGCGCACACACACACACATACACACAATTTTCTAATTTTGGATTAATATAAATTTTCTACAACTCGCTAGTTTTATTTTGGATTAATTCAATTTTTTTTTCAATTTTGATTAATATTTTATATACGCAATTTTCTACCCTCATCTATGATATTTTTAAATATCTTAAGATTTATAATATCCAATAATTTATAACTTGCTTATGAGTTGGATCAATGT